TCCGATGTTCTTAACTGCAGCGCTGAGCTACTCTTGGATGAAAGAACACTGGAAACCATTGTAATTTTTTTTAATTGTGAATGTACACACGGAACATAAGAGGAGGCTGGTAGGCATTTCCTCAGGGGTGTGCAACATGTGTGGTTGGTCCCCCAAGGCTGAACACACGAAGCTCCCACTCCAGGGTCTCAGGCCGAGGTCTTTCTCATTGCCTGTTGCCAGATTCTTTAATGGGAGGTGCCGGGGATTGAACCCGGGACCTTCTGCGTGCCAAGCCAGGGCCCGTTTCCAACAGTGGTTGCCTCCCCCTGCATCCCAGCAAACCCCTGCCGTAAACCTTTACAAAAAGCTGCCAGCCACCACAACACTACCCGCTTATTGTCATGTTTCCTCCAAAGGTTGCATCTCCCTCTCCCGCTTTTGGTCCGCACACGACCCTGGCATTCCGCTGGTCCTTCTCTCTCCTTCCCTCAGTCTCTCTTTATGCCACCCCTTGACTCCCTTGCTCCCAGAATCGTGGTGACCATCCCCACGGCCTTCTACCTCCTCCCGCTACTCATCCAGCTCAGCAACCAGCTCGGCAACATTTGGACGGCTCGATACAGATGCAAGCTCCAGGTACCAGCTAGAACAGGGGTCTCCCAGCCCCACCGACCTCCCAGGGTGTCTGTGGTGGGGAGGGGAAGGGAAAGGAGTTTGTCAGCCGCTCTGAGACTCCCTTCCGGTAGTGAAGGGTGGGGTATAGATCCAGTCTCTTTTTCTTTGTCTTCTTCTTCCCCATCTCTTTCTACAGGATCACGCTACGCAAAGGAAATCCTTCCCAACTCCCCTGGCCTGGTGGTGGACCCCAGCTTTGCACATCCAGCACAGATCAAGGTAAGGAGATTATAAGCCACTCTGAGACTCCAAGTGAAGTTGTTGTTGTTCAGTCGCACAGTCGAGTCCGACTCTTCGTGACCCCATGGACCAGATCACGCCAGGCCTTCCGGTCTTCCGCCGTCCTCTGACGTTGGCTCAACTTCATGTTCGTTGCATCGATGACACTGTCTAACCATCTCATCCTTTGCCGTCCCCGTCTTCTTTGACCTTCAATCTTTCCCAGCATCAGGGTCTTCTTCTCCAGCGAGGGCTCCCTTCTCATTGGGTGGCCAAAGTAGTTGAGCTTCAGTTTCATTATCTGGCCTTCCAGGGAACAGTCAGGGTTGATTTCCTTTAGGATTGACTGATTGGATCTCCTGGCAGTCCAAGGGACTCTCAAGAGTCTTCTCCAGCACCATAGTTCCAAGTGAAGGGCAGGGTATAAATTCAATCTCCTCTCCTCCTCCTCCTCTTCTTCTTCTTTCTTTCTTCTTCTTTCTTCTTCTTCTTCTCCTCTCGCAATATAAATGTTGTGTGCCTTGAATAAAACTTCCTCGGTCTTCAAGGTGTCATTGGACTCTGACTTTGTTCTGCACAAACACCGTGTGATTCTGCCCTTCTGCTTGCTCCCAGGTCCAGGGGGACATCGGCCACGCCAAAAGCACCGGCCCAGAAAGCCCGGAAAGCTCTGGCACTCCTCCAGTTCCCCCCGTTTTCCAGCTCCCGCCTGACCACTCCAAGCCCTTCCCCGGGCGGCTGCCCTGGAGCCAAGCCGGGTGAGTGGAGAGCAACCAACGCCTGGCGCCACTTCCTGGCTTCCATGGGAAGCATTCTGCATCCGAAGGGTTCCGCTCCGGGAGAGTCGACACAGCACGTTGCGCAGGAGGTGAGCTCAGGGGCAGAAGGAAAAGGCCGGGAAAGATGACCCGGCAGTCAGACGGGGTCTTAGGAATGCTGGGGCCCTGGGCAGGATGGGGCCCTGGATCCAGTGCAGCCCACACACATACAAGCCCTAGGGTTGCCAACCTCCAGTATTAAGACACTCCATGAATGCATTACGAACAAAAGCAGAAAGATTATATTATACGAAACAATTCTGACAGCTCTCTGAAGAAGCAGAACACGAACACGGGCAGTGAAGCCAGTCGCGTATAGCTGCTACTCCTGCAAGACGTAGAACCTTTGTTCTCCTGGATTTTTTTATACAAAGGATTTGTGGACTTCATTTAGAGTTTTCCCTTCATATCACGTACTTTCTGGTCCTAGCTCTTTATGAATATACAGGGGTTTGTTGAACTTTCACACAGATTTAAAACTGTTTGAGTTGGTTTTGTATAACACAATCTTTCTGCTTTTGTTCGTAATTCATTCACCGAGTGTCTTTATATTGATACTGTCTCCTCCCGTGAGCTCTCATTTTGATATACAACCCCCAGGGGGTGGCTGGAAATGTCCTGGGGTTGTTGCAGTTCATCTCCAAGAGACAGAGACCACTGCTGCCACCCCTCCGTGTATCACACCTAATCCATTCACGCCTGCTATTGTCGTTTGCCTGCTAATGTCGTTGGACATCACTCCACTCTCCAAGATATAAGGACAAATGGACTCACATTCTCGCTGTATCTGACGAAGTGAGCACTGGCTCATGAAAGCTCATGCCCTGCCAGAAATTTTAGAAAAGAGCAAGAGTCCAGTAGCATTTTGAAGACTAACAAAAAAAAAATTGTCCGTCTTCAAGGTGCTACTGGACTCTTGCTCTTTTCAACTTCCACCAGCAGGTGAATTTTCTTCTGTCTGACATTCCCTTAATGATCCCTCCTTTCCACCCTGTGTTTGAACTAGTATTTGCCTGTTGCTTTAAGATACCCATTTCAGTTTGGGTTTTAATCATTTTTATGGTGTGTTTTGCTAATGCTTGTTCTAACCGTTAGCCACCTGGTGGGACCCGGTGGGACAGAAAGACAGGGGACAGTTTTTGTCAATGAAATAAATAATACATAATGAAAACAGCCCGATATATTATGGGCCATCCAGTGGCACAAGCGAGTACCTAAGATCCTAGTTGCAGTACCACCTTTAGCCAGTGTGTGGTAGTCATGGCCAGAGGATCAGATGAGGATTTGGGGTTGTAAGAACATCAGAACAACACCAGAAAAGGCCTGCTAAATCAGACCAGTGGTCCCTCTAGTCCAGCATCTGGTCTCACACAGTGGCCAACCAGTTCGTCTGGAGGTCCAAAAACAGGGCATAGAGGCCGAGGCCTTCATAAGAAGAGCCCTGCTGGATCGGACCAGTGGTCCATCTAGTCCAGCATCCTACTTCACACAGTGGCCAAGCAGTTCCTCTGGACAGCCAACAACAGGGCCTAGAGGCCGAGGCCTTCCTAAGAACATCAGGAGAGCCCTGCTGGATCAGACCAGTGAGGGTCCATCTAGTCCAGCATCCTACTTCACACAGTGGCCAAGCAGTTCCTCTGGACAGCCAACAACAGGGCAGAGAGGCTGACAGCTTCCCCTAAGGATTCCTCCTGGCACTGGGATTCAGAAGTTTACTGCAGCAGATAAAGGTACAAATGGCAGAGGTTCATTACAAAATCTTTGGAGAGTGGAGTGCTTTGCCTTATTTCCGTGTCTTCCTGTTGGGTGATGACTCGATGCTTCCCCCTACAGGCCACCAAGAAGAAAAGCAGCTGGTCTCTGAACACCGCGGACAGGAGGACAGAGATCCCCAGTGAGTAGGTTCCCTGTGATCTGCTCTCCAGCTGTCTTAAGCTGTGAAGCTGTCACGGCTCAGGTGGGAGTGTCGCCTTGACGCTGCCACCACTCTGGATTTAGGATTCCTTGAGAAGGCCCAGAGCGCCCTCCCAAGACATTCAGACCTCCCTTATTTGGTCAAATAATTGACGTGAGGACCAGGCAGAGTAAACAACAAGGAAAAAGTTTATTTTATAGGAGGTCAAACAAACAAGGTGCAGGAATAATAACAGTAAGTGGGTGAAAAGAAAAGGAATCAAATGCCCTAACGCATCTAAATATATACTGTCCCTAGCTCACTATCTCAAGTGGCCTTAGACTACTCACCCTCCCCTCAGGATGAGGGTTTCTTCCCCACAGCAGTCTCCCTTCTGGCCCTGTTCCCTGGGAAGAAGAACAGCTTTTTCTCTTGCACCAGTTCTTATATTCCCCAGCCCTCTTCTTCCCTGTTGGTCAAAATCGGTGAAGAAAACTTCCCAAGACCTTCTGGGGTTTGTAGACCCCCCCTCCCCTACTGCTGGCCAGGCTCCCTGGGTCTAGTAGGCCTCTAGTGGCATAAGAGGGATCGTCTAGATTTCAGTGCTGTAGCCGACCCTTGTGGAAGGGGATTGTTTCTGGATATTTTATCCAAGATCATAGAATCATCAAGTTGGAAGGGACTTCCAGGGTCATCTAGTCCAACCCCCTGCACAAGGCAGGAAATTCAGGATGGTGTCAGGGACACAAACATGGCTACAATGCTAGGTGGCAGGGACTGAATCACCCTCCACAATTTCTTCCTTGCTTGATTTCTATAATTTGAGGGTAAGGAGGGAGAATTCCCGCTAACAAATTTCTAGGGGGTGGATGGGAGACAAGCCATTCCCCACCGTGCACAGATTGATGCACTTGCTTGAGTCATCTGGAGCCGTTTGAACCGCAGGGCAGTCTTCTGCTGTGCCCTTTCTATGTTGTCAACCCCTGACTGGGAAATTTCAGGAGATATTGAGGTGGAGGATGGAGGGGGGGGTTGGTCACAGATGTGACCTCAGTGGGGCATAATGCCACGGAGTCCACCCTCCAAAGCAGCCATTCTCTCCAGGGGAAATGATCTCTCTGTCTGGGAATCCTGTAACTCTGGGAGATATCCAGGCCCCACCTGGAGTCTGGCAACCCTATGAAAAGCAGTAGTAGTACTAAGGTTTTCTGCTCAAGGCTATCGCTATATGAGCAATACTAAATAGATTATAGATAGATGGATGGATGGGTGGATGGATGGATGGATGGATGGATAAAGATAGATAGATGGATGGATGGATGGATGGATGGATGGATGGATGGATGGATGGATAGATAGATAGATGGATAGATGGATGGATGGATGGATGGATGGATAGATGGATGGATAGATGGATAGATGGATAGATGGATAGATGGATAGATGGATAGATGGATAGATGGATAGATGGAAGATAGATGATAGATGATGATGATGATGATGATGATGATGATGATGATGATGATGATGATGATGGATAGATGATGGATGGATAGATGATGGATGGATGGATGGATGGATAGATGATGGATGGATAGATGGCTGGATGATGGATAGATGGAAGATAGATGATGATGATGATGATGATGATGATGAAGGATAGATGATGGATGATTGATAGATAGATAGATGATGGATGGATAGATGGATAGATAGATGATGGATAGATGATGGACAGACAGACAGACAGATAGACAGAGTAGTACTAACGGCCAGGATGTCTCCAGTTCAAATCTTCCTTCAGCCACGAACTCATCAGGTAGTCCCTTTGCAATTTACAAATCCTCCAGCCTCAGCCTCCCATACAGAATACCGGAATATTTATTTTAGCTGACTTTGTGAAGATTGATAACATACATGAAGCTATCTGAATACTCCCAGATACATGATACCTGTTGTTGCTATACTACGGTTGATGTGGGGAGGACCAGAAGATATAGAGGGTGCTAACGGCAAAGAGATAAAGCGGTGATTATTAGGATAAGGAATCTCAGCTCTTGCACTCTCGTTCCTGCTAGTCCCAGAAATGCCGGAGTCCCTGCAGCTGCTGGATGAAGACCAAGACACTCACTGGAAATGCCAGCTCTACATCAACAGACGTGCCCCTTCGTCCCCCACGGGCACCCTCCTCTCTCTGTCAGATATCTGAAAGGGATCCTAGCAGCTTTCCCCGTGACCACAATTTTGTAATGGGAACACTGGATAAAAATGTAGTGTAAAGTCACTTTCTTTGTTGTGCTTTTTTATTTATTTTTTTCAGTTTGGCCCTCAAGGGTTAGCTGGCATGGAAAGCTGACACTGAGTTGTATCCAGAAAATTAGGATCGGAGGCAGAGCCTGGGAGAGGCCTCAGGAGGATATAACTCCATAGAGTCCTCCCTCCAGAGCAGCTATTTTCTCCAAGGGAACTGATCTCTGTTATCTGGAGATCAGTTGGAACTCCAGAAGATCTCTGGGTCCCACTTACGGGTTAGTAAGAATAACCAAAGAGAGATCACGGGATAAGTGAATAGAAAATAGTCAGTGGAAACTGTGATATAGGTCCTTTCTGCATTTGCCTGCCACTCCAGATTTTCTCCATGTTTGAGTCAAGGCAATTTAAGTCCACAGCAAAGCATCATCCAAATAACCCAGGGCAACAGCCGGCTGAAGCTGGGCTGACCCTTGAAGAGATGTAATGTGATGCAAATGGGGGAAAAACTCAGAATGAAAAGAAGGTTGAACTCGATTTTTGTGCAGAATGGAGGAGAAAAAACCCTGGGGCCCCATTCACACGGAGGATTTGCTGCGGGAGAGCGACGAGTGAATGGCGGATTTTCCGGGCGCAATCACACCGCAACATCTGGGAAGTGGAGCACAACCGTGGCCAACCCATGGCATACCGCCGAAAATGTGGAGTTAAAAAATACCTGGTCAAAGGTAGTAGCAACCGGTTTGCCATGGGCTGCCTCCGGAATGCGGCGGTGTGATCATGCCAGTGCGCCGCTTTTCCCTCCGGCCCCTCGTTGGTGTGCAGGGAAGGTACCGTGGCATGCAACCGATGCATGGGATCGCGTTAATGGTGCATTAAATTGCGGCGGCGCAAATAGCCACACCCCCTCTGCGTTATCTGGCTCGTGTGACCGGGGCATGGATTTAAAAAAAGATTGAATTCGATTTTAGTGCAGAATTGCTTGGAGGACACCACGATGAACGTGGATTAAAAGGAGAGAGCAGAAAGGACCATATTTACAAAGGGAATATCACTCTTTTATAGATTTTCAAAAAATAGATCAATACTAATACTAATACTAAAACATTTCTGTACATTCATACAGATCCCCTCTTCTAATCAAGCAGTCGGACATACCTATTCTAGGTTCTGGGATTTCTGGAGATTTGGGGGCGGAGCCTGGGGAGGGCGGGGTTTGGGGAGGGGAGGGACCCCAGCAGAGTAGAATGTCACGAAGTCCACACTCCAGATGAGCTATTTTCTCTGTAGTCCGGAGATCAGGTGTAATTCCAGGAGAGGTCCAACCACCAGTGTTCCCTCTCAGCTGAGTGAGTGTGAGCTAGCTCACATTCTTTTAGCCTCCGACTCACACGTTTTCGCCTTAGCTCAGGAAGGGCGGCCCCAGAGCAGACTAATTTCTGCAGCAGCCAAATCACTCGCTCGTAACTTTCATGCCAGGAACTCACAAAGTAGAATTTTTGCTCACAAGACTCCACAGCTTAGAGAGAGCATTACCCACATAAGAACATAAGAGACGCCAATGTTGGATCAGGCCAAAGGCCCATCCAGCCCAACACTCTGTATCACACAGTGGCCAGAAATACCAGTGCCATCAGGAGGTCCGCCAGTGGGGCCAGGACACTAGAAGCCCTCCCACTGTTGCCCCCCCCCCCAAGCACCAAGATGACAGAGCATCACTTGCCCCAGAGTCCCTATCTATACCTTGTGGCTAATAGCCACTGATGGACCGCTGCTCCATAGGCTTATCTAATTCCCTTTTGAAGCCGTCCATGCTTGTAGCCGCCACCACTTCCTGTGGCAGTGAATTCCATGTGTTGATCACTCTTTGGGTGAAGAAGTACTTCCTTTTATCCATTCTAACCCGACCGCTCAGCGATTTCATGGACTGCCCACGAGTTCTTGTATTGTGAGGAAGGGAGAAAAGTACCTCTTTCTCTGCCTGCTCTATCCCATGCATAATCTTATAAACCTCGATCATGTCACCCCTCAGCCGTCGTTTCTCCAAGCTAAAGAGCCCTAAGCGCCTTAAGCTTTCCTCATAGGGAAAGTATTCCAATCCACCATCACCTCAAGGTTCCCAAACAGCAGAGATGCACGAAAAAGAATAACAGAAAGGATCAAACCGTGCGTAAATAACGAAAAATATATTCAACAATCACTGAACATGATACTCTAAACCTATATAGAGTAGTGTTTCAAAAGTACTATATAGTAATCAGAAACTCAAAAGTACACGGTCCAAATACAAAAACAGTCCTATTAATACACGTTCAGAAATAGTCCAAGTCAAATTCCTCAAACAGTGAAAAGTCCATATATACATGTTTATACTTCCTCTTCTCGCCGCTTGTGTATCCACTTCTCGCTGCTTGTGTATCCACTTCACAGCCCCATCAGCTTCCAGCTGCCCTATCGCCTGGCTTCCTCAAAAGCGGAACCCCAAAACCTCCCCGCTCCAGCACTGAATCATACACAGCATCTTTTTCCTTCTCAACATATATAAGACCAGTTACTGTGAAGTAATTGACCACAATGCGAGCACCAGGGGTCATTTTGTAGAAAAAGAGGTGCAGGAGCTCATTAGCATAACTTATTTGCATATGCCACACCCCCTGACATCACCGGAAGTGTGTCAGAAGGCAACACCCACCACTCAGGCTCCACTGGACTGTTTTGGATCGCTAGCTATTGGGGGGGGAGTGCAGATCTGTCCTCGCAGAGGAGGGAGAGCTTGTACCTGAATAAAACTTGATCTTAAAAGTGCCACTGGACTGTTTTGGACCAGGGGGCCGGTGGGAGCTCTGCAACTTACCTGGCTGCTTCTTGTTCTGACTGAGGGCTGCTGGGAGCAGGGGGTGGGGCTTGTTTGGTGAGCCAGTTTGGTGTAGTGGTTAAGTGCGCGGACTCTAATCTGGGAGAACCGGGTTTGATTCCCCACTCCTCCACTTGCACCTGGCTGGATGACCTTGGGCAAGCCATAACTCTGGCACAGCTGTTCTTGAAAAAGAGGAGTTTCTGTCAGAGCTCTCTCAGCCCCACCCACCTCACAGGGTGTCTGTTGTGGGGAGGGGAAAAGACCTTGGGTAGTGAAGGGCGGGGTATAAATCCAATCTCTTCTTCTTCTTTACTGCTGGAGCTCTGCTCCTGTGCGCTCCTGCAGGAAATGACCCCTGGCGAGCACAATGCACAGACTGCACAATGTGCTTGCATGCAGATCAGCACAACTCACCCATCTACACAAGTTTTAGCCTCCTTCCTAAGAGAACCTCTAGGTGGCGGTCTCTCTCCACTGGTGCTCGCTTTCGAGCTCCCGGTTGCCGAGCACATGGCAATCGGCCTCAAGGTGTGGTCTGCATGCGAGCGCAGCGCGTTGTGCAAACACGGAGGTGAAATATTTACCAGGGGAATATTTACCCATGCCGG